ATATATATTCTCTTTTTTATTACTAAATAACCATGTTTGGCTCCTAGTTATGGTCATGGCTAGTGTGAAGCTAACCATGACCTGCCCACCATCCATATAGATGATATGGTGTGTACAGTTCAAGAAGGGGTTACGATTATGGTTATGATATGATGTGAATAGTTCTAGAAGTGTTATTGTCATGGTTATGTATGAACATGGCTATTGTGAAGTAAACCATGACCTGCCAAACATCCTTCACAGCATGCCTGTTGTGAACGTATGACCAATTTTTCCTTCCTTAATCAGGTGGTTACTTGTGCAATGTTATATTGTGTGTTAAGGCTTTATGTTAAGATATTCCTTAAAAAGTACAAGCATATTCAGTTTAAAAACCTCCAAAATGAAAAAAAAAAACAATTAGTTAAAAGAAACCAATGACCTTGATTACATTGTTCACCATCATAAACATCATCTGAGATTCTCTTGTGAATATCTTCATTAGACATTCTTTCTCCTACAATTAGAATATGTAAAAACATTCTTTTAGGGAGTTTTGAATAGTTGCATCCAGTTATTGAAAAAAACAATCATTAAAAATAAGCTAATGGCCTTAATTACCCTCTACATTGTTGAAAACATTATTTGAGATAAGTTGCTGATCATCTTCATTAGACATCCTTTTTCCTGAGACTGAAATGTCTTAAACCCTAGATCAAAGCCTACATTCTTATCAACTATATTATAAGGAAAGCAAAAAATTAAAAATAAACAAATTACGTTTTTGTAAAAGATTTCTTACTTGAATTAAGGTAGAGAAGTTCAGTGCAGGATTGAGGCAACGTCAATGTCAATTTCTATTGAAATCAACATCGTGGATGAAATTTTGTGATGTAGGTTCAATGGTAGTCGGAGTTGTCAATTGAAGATCTTCAATCAAAGTACTGGACCAATTGAGGCATTCAATCATTGTTTACTGGTCGAAGAAAGAGGAGATCGTTAGAGGGAGAATGCGAGTTCATCCCAGGAAGAACACAAAGTCGATCATGGAGAAAGGCGTTAAGAATCGCTTTTCATTGTTTTCGATCGTGAGGTTAAAAAATAAAAAATATATAGGTCAAAAATTCCCCTACAGTTTAAAGTTTTATGCTAAATTTCAACCATTGGATCGTTATCTTATAAAATTGATCAATGGATATAAGTTGGTCTTACGGGTCTCACGAAAAGCTATTGGTCTCACGTGAACCCAACCCTATATATATATATATATATATATACATACTAGTTGTCTACCCGCACAATGCGGTGGGTTGCAAAATTTAACTATAGAAGACAAAAAAAATTCTTTTTGCATGAATACGAGATCCCGATAATAATTCAAGTACTTTTGATAGCAATCTCATAATTTGACTGGAGTCGAGGATCGAATCCAAGGAGGAATAAAAATTCACTTGTGGCCACGGAGGTTCAATTGTGGTGACTCCGGACTACTCGAGAAGCGGGTGGTCGCCCTGGATTAGTCGGCTCACATAATGATTTTGATATCAAGATTAATAAAAAGCTCTCTTAATCTTTTATCAGCCTTGCACTTCTTGATATTCGGAGAATACTTTTCTATTAAGCAAACTTTCATAAAATAATCATTTGACTAAGAGGCTGTTTACCAAATGCTCATCCGGGTAAACATTTACCAAGTCGTATTACCTCACTCGGTAAGTACAAAAACAAGGACCGATAATCTTACCTAACAAGTGAGGGCGATGACTCTTGCCATGGTTGTGCATAGGATACCGATAAGTTACTGATAGTGTTGAATTTTATGGTAAATGTTTATCCGGGTAAACATTTGGTAAACGGCCTCTAAATATTTTCCGTACTAAACATTTTTCACACAAACCATACAAATCAACCGATTAGATCAGACAAAGGCTTAAATAATTTGACAAAATTTGTTCAATGCAAGTGTTGAAAGGTAAGAATTTGACAAAGGCCTTCTACGCATTGCAAAAATGATTAGAAACTGTGTACTCAACCATTTTCTTTTCTTGTAAGAATGATTCACTTGTCATGGTAAGAATTATTTTGGAAAAAAAGACTACAAATTGATCTTGATGGGTGTTTTTGATAGAGAAGAATCCCACTTCCAATACAGGGCCTCCATAGCATGAAGCCATATATAC